TTTGGTCACTATTAATGACCTGTGACAATGACCTTTCTAACAATTTGATCACTAGTAATGACATATGACATCACCCCTTCTAACGATTTGGTCACTATTAATGACCTATGACATTGACCTTTCTAACAATTTGGCCACTATTAATGACCTATGACATTGACCTTTCTAACAATTTTGTCACTACTAATGACCAATGACATTGATCTTTCTAATGATTTGGTCACTACTTGACCTCTATGCTTTACAACTTGTTGCAACTTTTTACTTACTTTCCAGTATGCCCTTTGACATCAACCTCTTTGAAGTGACCTAGCTCCCAATTCAGTTTTAAATACATGTTATCTTTATAGACTGTTTTCCATTTCATATTGGCAGTCACTGGTACCTCTAAAAAATCAAATAAAAATAAATATTAATTAGAAATTAAGGTTGTGCTATTTGTAGCACATACACTCACATGTGTTGTTGTCACAATAAGTCATATTCAATGAGTACTTCTATAAGAAATATGGTGTACCATTTTGGGATGATAAATAAGGAAAATAAATGATGTTGGATATAATGTAATTGATGATGTGATTGGTGCAAAATCCACTGGAACTGAACTTGATTGTATACATGTATGATTAAAATGCCTTAGGAGTGTATTTTAACAAATTTATTGATATTGAAAAAATAATACTGTGTCAAGACATATCAAGAACGAATGAATCATTGCCATGGTTATCGTAGCACATTTACCCAGGGTTAATTAACTTTTAACCTCATGTACAATTTTATTTTGGTTCTGATGCAATAACCACTATGTTATCAGATTAATTCATGAGAAAATAATACAATCAATTATACGTCACTGTCAAATATATTTAAACTTACCAATTTCAACTTGACTGCACTTTTCTTTCCATAGTTGATCACTACTAGCGATGCGATTCCATGTTCTACTAACTCTACATACAACTAATAACTCTCTTGGATTTAAATTATGTAATATCTTCAGGGCAAGGCACTCAGGGAGTAAAGCTATGAAATCACGGTACTGTTTAAGCTATATGATAAAAATAAACATAGTATACCTATGACAACTTTATCCAATAACTGTCACCATCACATATACCGTCACCATCGCATATACCGTCACCACCGCATACACCGTCACCACCGCATACACCGTCGCCACCACATACACCGTCGCCACCACATACACCGTCACCACCACATACACCGTCACCACCATACTGTCACCGTCACATACACTGTCACCGCCACATACACTGTCACCGCCACATACACCGTCACCACACATACACCGTCACCACCGCATACACCATCACCACCGCATACACCGTCACCACCGCATACACCGTCACCACCACATACACCGTCACCACCTCAAACACCGTCACCACCACATACACCGTCACCACCACATACACCGTCACCACCACATACACCGTCACCACCTCAAACACCGTCACCACCACATACACCGTCACCACCGCATACACCGTCACCACCGCATACACCGTCACCACCACATACACTGTCACCGCCACATACACTGTCACCGCCACATACACTGTCACCGCCCATACACTGTCACCGCCCCATACACCGTCACC